GGTAGATGTTGCACGTAAATGGTCTTCCTAGATCTGGAACCAATATTTCAAAAAGACCTATAATCTCTCAGAAGTGGCAAAAGATTAACATTTATTATTGCTTTTTGACTGAAACGCATCTATATGAGATACAGACATTTGACTATATTCTTCAACGAAATCAGCGTTAACGAAATAGTCAGAAGTGCGTCTTTTCTGTATTTGTGAATTCTCAAAAAAGACACTGGAATGGATATTTTCGTATTTTGTCTACAAAAGTTGGCAAAATATTTCACACATTGAATATTTTTGGATGGCCATCCAAAACTATTTGGCTTTTACAATGTCCGGTAACCTCCATTCAAATGCGCGTGAGGATCGGGCGATAATTACGACGTGCTGACAATTTTGCAGTTTTTTTTGTCCATTTCAACCCCTAAATATATGACGATTATCTCCAACAAGAGTAGGCTTCTATTCTGACCCTCATCTTATCCCCATGCAAAATTTCGTAAGGATCGGACCATAAATGAGATCTGTATATGATATCCTGATATCCTAACTACTTAGTTTTGTTAGCTGTAGAAATATTACCAAATGTTTAATTCAAAATGAAAATATGCCAAAAATATGACAAAATTGAAAAAATATGAGAAAATTTCACAAAATCAATATTTTCATCTTTAGAGAGATATTTTTATGCGATTTTTTAGACGGTTTTTCTTTCCTGCCAAGAGGCCATTCTGAATTAATGAGAACTGTCGAAATCAGTTCAGCCGTTCTCGACATATAAGAGATCTTTCAAGCATATCTTCTTTGATAGACATATATATCGCACATATTTTGCTATATATCCGATTTGATTGATGTTAATATCAATGTAAAGATCAGAAGTATCCTTGTTATGGCTTTGTGATTTCGCCGGGATTTAAAATATTCGCGGTTTAATGAAAAATTTTGATTTTTTTCAACACAAAAGATATGGTCTATTTTACCCGCTAAATATTATCCGATGACCACCCAAATTGGTAGGCTTCTTCCCCGCCCTAAACTCTAGCTACATGCGCAATTCCGCGTCGATTGGTCTATAATTGCGACCTGTAGAGCAACTGCAAAATCAGGAATTTTTTCAGTTTTTGGTCCATTTCAACCCCTAAATATTATGGGATCATCTCCAAAAGAAATAGGGTTCTATTCTGACCTTAACCCCACCTACATACTAAATTTCGTGAAGATCGGACCATAATTGCGACCTGTAGAGTGATTACAAATTAACATGGACAGACGGACGGACGGACATACATAGCTAGATCGACTCAGCTCGGCGAGCTAGGAAGATCCATATATACTTTCCTATATGGGAAACCAATATTTCGAGGTGTTACATAAATTCTGGCCCAATCAAACTTATAATACCCCCAACACATAGTGTTGTAGGGTATAATGATACATGTGTAATTTTTCCTCAAATGTGAAATATTTTCATCCACCCTGTGTAATATGCTGTTCCCTTGGTGGCAACACTGCTAGGACTACCAAAATACGGATGGGTACCGTTATATGTGCGCTATAGGAAAACATAGACCTAGGCATTCAATGTTCTGCCACCGGAGCTAGTTCCCATTACGAACTACAAACACCAATGTCTAGACAAATTCGTGGAAAATGTTATATCCTTGCAGTTCTGGAACAGACCAAAACTGAAAAAAATATATTTAGGAGGTAGTTTTGTTCTACCTACTGTAATTATGTCATGATACCAACAATGATCGTTATTGAATGCGTTTTGTGGTTGAACATTGAAACTAATATATGAGAGATATATCATAAAATCATTTATAGCTATATAGAGAGTTTCCCAACTTGAACGCAATCATGATATCGAAAATCGATATTGTGAAATGTTTACCAGTTTTTCTTGCCTGGAATTAAAACAATTAATATGGAGGGCATGTGGTTTCAATAAGACGGCGCTACATGTCATACAGCCAGAGAAATAATGCAACTGCAACATCAGTTATTTCCCGGTAGTGTTATATTGCGTTCTGTAGACCAGAATTGGTCGTCTAAATTGCGCGATTTAATACCTTTAGATTTTTACTTGGGGGTTTTGAAGTAGATTGTTTACGTAAATACACCGACGGCGATTCAACCTTAAAATAGGAAATTGGACGCTGCGTTAAAAACAAAAAGGGCTTTGAAAATTTCATTGAAAGATCACGTGTATGCCAGCAAAGCCGCGGCGGCCAAAATGTTTCATACATAACCTCATTCTTGTCATTCTAAAGTTTCACCATTATGTTTTAAAAATATGTGTCAAATTTAAGTAAAATTTGCATTAACGAGGGCAGTTCGGAAACTTTTTAGCATAGCACAAAAAGCGCGGTATAAACAGACAAAAAGTTAATTGTTTTGAAGCTATCTATCGGGACAAGAAATTCATAATGATATGGTGAGTGTGTTAGGTGAAAGTGCTCCGTCATATGCAACAGTAAAAAATTGGGCTGCAGAATTTAAACATGGTCGTCAACGTAGTGGACGTTCAAAAACAGCAACAACAACTGAAATTGAAGCCAAAGTGCATGATATGGTATTAAATGATCGACGAATAAAAGTGCGTGAAATTGCTAATATCATGGGCATCTCAAGTGACCGAGTCCATTTAATTTTGCATGAAGAACTACAGATGAAAAAGCTTTCGGCATGATGGGTGCCGCATTTGTTAACAGTCGATCAAAAACGCATAAGAATGAACATTTCTCAAGCTTGTTTGGATCGTTTTGAGCGTCGTTTCATAACTGTTGATGAGACATGGATCCACCACTATACTCCAGAGACAATAGAACAATCCAAACAATGGACTGAAGCTGGAGGAAGTGTCCCAAAGAAGGCAAACACAATTCAATCGGCTGGTAAGGTTATGGCAACGGGTTTTTGGCACTTCAAATGTATTTTATTGATTAACTATCTGCAAAAGGGTAAAACAATAAATTCAGAGTAATATTGCAACCGTTTGGATCAATACTATGGAGGGTATATTAACTTTGTCACTCCGTTTGTAACTCCTCGAAATAGTCATGTCAGACCCAACAAAGTATATATATACATATATTCTTGATCAGCGTAAAATTCTAAGTCTATTTAGCGATGTCCGTCTGTCTGTCTGTTGTAATCACGCTATCTTTCCAACAAATTGAGATAGAAGGCTAAAATTTTGCACATATGTTTATTTTTCCAGTAGACAGGTTCAGTTCATAAATGGGCTATGTAGGTCCACGTCTTCGTATAGCCCCCATATAACGGTACCTCTCGATATTCGGTATTTTGATGATTTTAGCGACATTATTCACCGGAATTGTTTCAAATTTAGTAGTTGAAGTAAGTAATGGATACTTCAGCCTAATACAGAAAATTGTCTGTGCAGATCCACGTCTTCATATAGCCCCCATATAACGGTACCTCCCAATATTCGGTATTTTGATGATTTTATCGTCGTTGTTCACCGGAATTGTTTCAAATTACGTATTTAGTTTCAAATTCGTAATGGGATCTACAGTCTGTGACAGAAAATTGTCTATGCTGGTCCAGGTCCCATATATCAGTACCTCCCTATATTCGGTATTTTGACGAGATGTCGTATTTGAACTTCGAAATGGATGCTACAGCTATGACAGAAAATTGTCTATGCTGGTCCAGGTCTTCGCACAGCTCCGATTTAACGGTACATCCCTATATACGATATTTTGATGATTTTAGCTACATTATTCACCGTGTATTTCAAGTTTTCGAATTTGAATATGGTAATGGCTTATGACAAACAATGTCTATGTAGGTCCACGTCGTATAGACTCCAATAAAACGGCTATATTCGGCATTTTTAAAATTTAAACAGAATTTTTTAAGGATTTTATTTTTTGAAAATTTCCCAATTCGTTCCAAATGGTGGAGGGTATTCAAAGCTCGGCCCGGTCGAACTTACTGCTTTTCAACTTGTTGAAAACTAACAATTCCCTTTCATTGATAGGCTGAGAAGATTCCGAACCACCCTCGTAATGTGTTTGCCTACATGCAAGTTCAATGCAAAATTAAAATGCTTACAAATTTAATAAAACGAAATTGTTTATATTTCAAAAATCAATGTTCTGATTGGTGGAAAACTTTTTGCCCCCCAATTTTTGGTGTCAAGTAAATTCGCCAATTTTGACATATCAAGTTCCGTCAAAAGTTGGTTTTTGGTACTACGGTCTGATCTACAACGCGTATTCGGAATGGGAAAGTTAGTTTTTCCTACAACTTTTTTTTCGAACGTTCCCACGCCTCACATTCCCACCCCTGCCGACCGAGGGGGCGACCTCCCTTTACAGAGGGATCGCGTACACATCATGATCCGCATCATAATGGGAATTCAGTAGGAAATTGAAAACCAGCTACAGAATCTAATTCATCAGCTAGTTTGTCATCCACTTGAGGTGGATGGTACACAACAACCAACATTACTCAAACTCAGTATTACTTTCCTAAATAAAATCGTTTTTAAATTTCTACCCTGAAATAGACTGCAGACCTTGGGCATTATTTTCTTTCTCTATAAAATTCATCGAAAGAGAATTTTTAATTTGAAAGACTGGTGTTACGTTGTTAACAAATAGATATCAAGAACAAGGATTCATACCCATTAGTTGAATATGAGGTGCCTTGGCCATTGGATAAGTTTCAATAAGAACAAAACTTATGATAGTTTAATTCGTTCGTTAAAAGAAAAACCTCCTTTCAGCGACACCGCCCAGAGTGGGTGCTTCATAACCAAATGCTTGTGTTCTCAAGGTGAGAAGGACAACAGATGTTATCCTTTTCACAGCGCATTAGATTGCATTTGGAGGCGTTTTTGTGGCAAAATCAAGTTTACTTTTGAAACAAACGTCCTCTGAGAAAGGTTAAGAACACGTCAGCCGGACGAACGGACGACTAAATCCAACTGCATATTGCTACAAAATTAATTTTATGTATCTACCCCGTTGCAGATGTCTCTCAAAAGTGACCAGGAGATATTGGAAAATTCAATGCACGAAGATGACCCGAATGGCAATTCGGCATTGGAACAGACATTTACGGAAAAGGTATCGCCACGATGGGGTCCCCAACACAAAGGTGCGCAAGAGTTGGCCCAGCTATATAGTCCAGGTATGTATAGTTCATAATTATAGACACCTAAAAATGTATTTGTCCAATGTTTACGTTGCAGGAAAACGTGCTCAGGAATTTATTTGCGTCTATACCTGCATCGCTTTAATGATTATCGACTTCATCTTGATATTGAAGCATTTTCATTTCGATCGAATTATCGTAACGTGTATTTCGGCTATTTGCGGCATAATCACAGCAGATTTCGGATCTGGTCTGGTCCATTGGGCGGCAGATACATGGGGTTCCGTAGAATTGCCCATCATAGGAAAGGTAGGTACTTTAGGTACGACATTGGCCTTGGCTGCTGAAACAGTGGTTGTTCTCTTTTCCAGAACTTTCTACGTCCCTTTCGCGAACATCACTTGGATCCGACATCGATCACCCGACATGATTTTATTGAAACAAATGGTGATAATTTTATGGTTAGCATTCCGATATTGGGATTTTTGGCTTATTGCTTCAACACAAAGTCCCACAGCGACATCCAGCAGGATTTTGGTTGGATATCCTATTTATTTTTATGTTCAATTTTTGTGGCCATGACCAATCAGGTAGACGGCTTCACCGCCGATGTAAAACGCTCTGATATTACAAATATATAACAAGTTTATTGTGTTCCCACAGATACACAAATGGTCGCACACCTACTGGGGACTGCCGAAATGGGTGTTGTTTCTGCAGAACTACCATATCGTATTGCCTCGCAAGCACCATCGCATCCATCATGTAGCTCCACATGAAACGTATTTCTGCATAACAACCGGCTGGCTGAATTGGCCATTGGAGAAACTGAGGCAAGTCTAGAGTAAATCGTACATTATCTTACCATTATCGACCATTCGAATTTGTCATCTAACTCAATTCTGGGTGAAAACAATTAGAAACACAATACTTGATTCGGCATCAGTTCAGGGGGCATTTAATGTCCTAACGTGGATGTGTACCGACAATGTTTGAAGGGAAGTTTATACACACTGGGCTTACTAAAATCGACCACTACAGTAATCAAAATTCAAAATGTAAACCCCGTAGATTAAAATTGTCAATTCCATTGCATAAACCATGGTATAATTATTACAGGTAGCAGAAACCACCAGCTGATTTGACTCAACGGTAATACTAGTGTCAAATTCGATATGACGTTTTGTGATTTAATTCCAATTCTTGATATGCGATAGGATACACTTTTTTGCAGGACAATGTGGGCATATTTTTTGCCTAATAATAGAAAAAGTCGCTGTTACACGTACCAAACGCCAACGGCGATGTTGCATTTTTCGCGGTTATGGAACAGCGACACCACATTAGGTAATATAGTTGTACATTTCATGTTTCCTAAAATTGCAAAAATTTGAATACTTTATGTGTATATGCATTTTGGTATCAATTTAAAAGGTATAACCTGATATTATCCCCCAAAACCCGGGTTATATGAGACGATTCGGGAGTTACATCAAAATTATCTATTGTTATATATTTTTTTTATTTATTTATATTCAATTAACACAGTTACCTAGCCCCTAGGGCCATGGACGTTTACAAAAACTTCTATACATAACTACTCGATCGATTTTTCGATCGGAATTTTTAAAAAATCTCACAAGAGACATAAAGACTACGAGATAAATGCCAAATTATAGTCAACACTATAACCTTTCCAAAATGCTACAATATGTGTTATTAACTTTCCTGGATCCAGAGATATAGGTCTTTGGACTCGATCGACCAGATTCTGTTCAGTATATTGAAATTATTTGTCCTTATGAAAAACTTTACTTCGCGTAGCCGGTGTTGGACAGAGCCAGATGAGAAAATTCAAAATCCCAAGCCCCGGCCGAAGGCCTGCTACCTAAAATAGCATCAAATGTAGAAAAACTTTGGTTCGATGTACTGAATCGAATCCGGGTTGTCCGGATTGGATCCATATCTATGGATCTAAAAAAGATAAAATCATATATTGTAGCATTTTGAAAAGGTCGGAGTTTAGGTCTAATTTGGTATATATTTTATGGACTCCAATAAGGGCCCATTATGGGCCCTTTGGGGGGTTTTATAAAAATAATCGGGTCCTATAAATCGATGATATCGATATAACTCCCGAATAGTTCTTAATAAATGTGACCACTTGTTGGATAAGTATTTTCATTAGCTTTTAAATGATACCTATAACGTAACCATATCGGTTATGCGGTATTGCGGTCCCAAGTAGCCCAAAAAAAAAAAAAAAGAAACCTCTGGGAAAAAACCGAGAATTCTTACTAAACTGGAGCTGTTCCTCTATATGAAATAGAACGCCAGTTTGGAGTTTTAGAACCAGAAGTGAGTAATTTTACAATAAGAATTTGTAAACTCTTCTTAACTCCAATATAGGTTCCTTTCTCGATTAAATTTGATAAATTCTATAGCGCAAATAAAAAAACGTTGATGTATTCTCAATTTTCACACTGGTTCAGTAATTTATATTACACTAGCTGAACCCGGTGCGCTTCGCTACCCCTTTTGATTTTATATGCATTCAAAATTTTATTTACGAATATATGTTGGATAAAGAAAAACAAATTTAAAAATTAAAAAAAAAAATATTGCACTAATTTAATGCGTTAATAAACAAAATCATTACAAAAGCAGTAACATGACATGCATACACGAAGGGTTTGTCCTTTGGATTTATTTATTTCATAGCAAATACCAAGCGTGCAGGAAACTGCAATTTTTTTAAGTAGAGTGGCATTTCTATTGCAAGTAGTGAATTCGAGATAGCAACATACTTCGCCGTAATAAGCGTATTTCAATTAAATTGTTGTGTTGTTTTTTAGTGTTAGCCTAAGGCGTTGTGGGTCAATGGTTCTTATTAAAATCATATCCCAATCTGATCCGATTTAAATATAATTTAAAAAAAATTACTTTTACACCAAACTCCGCTACACCTTTCATATTTAATTGAAATTGGTGCGTCAAATATGTGAAATCGGCCGAGAATATATATATGGGAGCTATATCCAAATCTTAACTAATTTCCAATTAATTTATCACATTTATTATTATAACAAAATTCCGCCACACATTCTGAATTTCATTGGAATCGGTCATATATATCGTGTTTGGTGCATAATATGTATGAAATCGGCCGAAATATATATGTTAGCTATATCCAAACCTCAACTGATTTCAATATAATTGTGCAATTTTTGCTGGTGCCAGATTTTGTCTCTCTCGCTTTGGGTGCACCAAATATGTGAAATCGGCTGAGTATATATATGGAGCTATAATCACATCTGAGCGTATTTGAATATAATTTGTCAAATGTGCATCAAATATGTGAAATCGGCGGATAATATATATGAGAGCTATATCCAAATCTGAACCGATTTTAATATAATTTGACTAATTTATTTTCTAATCAAAATCCCGTTACATATTCCAAAATTCTTGGAAATCGAACATACATATCGTGTATGGTGCATAAAATACTTGAAATCGGTCGAAAATATATATGAGAGCTATATCCAAATCTGAACCGATTTTAATATAATTTGACAAATGTATATTTGTTTTAATTTCCGCTACACATTTCAAATTTCATTGAAATTAGAGATACATAGCGTGTTTGGTGCATCAAATACATGAAATCGGTCGAAAATATATATGGGAGCTATATCCAAATCTGAACCGATTTCAATATAATTTGAAAAATTCATTTTTGCTCCCGATTCCGTTACTTATTTTAAATTTCATTAAATTTGGACATACATATCTTGTTTGGTCCACCAATCACATGAAATCGGCCGAAAATGTATATGGGAGCTATATCCAAATCTGAACCGATTTCAATATAATTTGGGTAATAAATTTTTTTAGATAAAATCTATCACACGTTTCAAATTTCATTGAAATTGGGGAGACATAGCGTGTTTGGTGCATCAAATGCTTGAAATCGGCCGAAAATATATATGGGAGCTATATCCAAATCTGAACCGATTTCAATATAATTTGAAAAATTCATTTTTGCTCCCGATTCCGTTACTTATTTTAAATTTCATTAAATTTGGACATACATATCTTGTTTGGTCCACCAATCACATGAAATCGGCCGAAAATGTATATGGGAGCTATATCCAAATCTGAACCGATTTCAATATAATTTGACAAATTTATTGTCGGATCAAATCCCGTCACATATTCCAAATTTCATTGGAATCGAACATTCATATTGTGTTTGAGGCATCAAATGAACGAAATCGGTCGAAAATATATATGGGAGCTATATCCAAATCTGAACCGATTACAATATAATTTAGCAAACTTATTTTTGTTCCAAATTCCGTTACACATTCCAAATTTGGAGACTGTATCTTTAACCGATCAATAGATATGTGCATATAAAATCTAAATTTTTGGGAGGTACCTCCGATTCTGATGCTATATCTCCAGTTCCAAGTGGAAATTCAAAAATTTATATAGCCTATGTTACTTTCAGGCGATGTTGCAGTATATATGGAAATTTTCAGAAAAATCTATTCAGCAGTTTTCGAGTCCATAAATTACAAACAAACAAACAAACAAACAAACAAACAAACGTACAAACATTTTCCTCTTTTATAGATATAGATTGGCAATTCAGTCTCATTTACTGGACTAGACCAGTCGACTAATATTTTGCAATAATTTGCTACCAAATTATTTTCTTCTATAGCGGGGCTTTGTTTATGTTTAATGTGAAATCGCACGTGAATATAAAACAACATTGAAAGTTGACAAATTCACTACATTTTCCCTCAGTTTTATCCACCAGCCTTTGGGCTATAGAGGGAATATATCATTTGATACAGTCAAAATTTAGCTCATCGTTCGAAGATTGGTTATTTAGGACGACTACATATGGCACCTCCCACACAAAAATTCAAAGTGTTGAAACTATTTATAAACCTCCTACAAAGCGAGGGGAGTATACAATTTGGTTGAAACTTTGCAAATAATATTTATAGTAGGACTTACTCTTCAATAAAGGATAAACTATTGGACATTGGGTATAGGGTATATCTGTCAAAACAAACGTATTTCTTGTTCTTAACCAAGTGAGTTTGTATTGGAGTTCAAATCACTTTAAAACTTCGTGCATCGTAATATTTGTGTAACTTTCAAGTCAGGAAATGGCTGTCATAAAACGTGGAATTAGTGTCCGTTTTTCTTCAAACTTCACACATCTCAATATTTGACTTTTTAATTTAATGCAATGTGGTTTCTAATCATTTGTTTCCTATTGCAGGTTTTGGTCGACATTAGAGTGCCTTATAGAACTTATGACAGGTCTAAAACCACGCGATGATGATTTGAAATGGGCTAAAAAGGTTACATAGCTATTTCAATGTGCAACGAATTGGACCAATCGCAATTAAACGCAAGGTTTACATTAACAATGTCTATTCTTATAACAACTACAAAAATTATTTACTAACAAAATATTGGAAAAAAAGTAAACTACATACAAATAACTAATTTACTTTGCTGAATGTACAAAGAAAACAACAACAATTTACAATTTTGCTAAGCATTAAAAAAAAAACAAAAACGAACCAATACTCAATTTGAGATTGTAACAGAGTATATAAATATAGTTTAATTTCATATATATTAACTATTCTTACTTTTTTAACAATTTTCTATTAAGAAAATACAGCACTAAGAATATATTTTTTTCTCAGTATTCGAAATATTTTTATTATTTAACGAGTATCTTATAAGCGGGCATACAAAAGCAATTACTATATAGATATTCATCACATTGAAATATTTTATGTTTGTATGTTCGTATAACGTGTTGTGAGATTTCAGTTTAAAAACATTTATTTAACTAATGCACCGACTGACTGATTCGGTAAATTAAGGGCTTTTTAGGAATCATCCAAGAATTCACAAAATATATAATATGTAGGGCACACACACACACAGTCGTCAATTGGGTAGATATAAAATGAAGAACATCAAATATACCAAGAATTATTTACAGTGGAAAAAATTATTTACTTATCTAGCTTGTAATGCGGTCGAGATGATACCGAATCTTTTTACCTTGGGAGCAATACATCCCAGAATAACTATTTTGGTTTGCTCCAGGATCGAAAAAAACAGGCTATGTGTCTATTCGAGTTGTCAGTACGTCATTCAGCAAAGATTTGTCTCGATATGAAGATGATGACGAATGCAAGGAAGTGGATATGTTTTGTTTTTGTTTTATTGGGTTTCAAGACCATAAAGAAGAAAATCATCATGTAACCTAAGGCTGTAACGTAGTTCCCAGTAGGGTTTGTCCTCTTCGTCGGTATCATTGTCTTCATCAATATCAACTGCAACACCTCGCACTACCTATTGTGTTCCATTTATGCTTCGTTAAAGAAGATGAGATGTTGGTTTTGTGATTCAGAGCAGTCTATCGTTTTGCAGGCATTGTTATTGTTACGATATATTCAGAAAGATTCTGGTGGTCAAACTCTACGGATCTTAGAGCCAGGAGCGCAAAAGTTTTATATTGAGCATAGGAAGGGCAAGATGATAAACAGGATTATATTCTTATTGTCCATCCCGAACCATCGCAGAAGATAGAGTTCCTGTGAGGGACAGGGATATTTCAGAGTCGTGTTACATATTTTTATGTCTAAGATTAATCGTTCAGCGCCTGTGTGAAATTGGAATACTTAGTTTGTTAGATCAGAAAACAATTAATTTCGATATCGAATTGAATTTGTCCCACAATCTTGTCGGCGAATTTAAAGGCATTAAAAAATCCTCTTTTTCAACAAACATTTCAGATACAGTAGTCAAGGTCTTAAACAAATAGAGTGTGAATATCGTTCCCAGATTTTACCAACTATCAATCAAATAGACTTTTAAACATGCAACAGTTATTTTACATTTTATTTCACAAAATTGTATTTTTGGGAAAAAAAAACAGGCTATGTGTCTATTCGAGTTGTCAGTACGTCATTCAGCAAAGATTTGTCTCGATATGAAGATGATGACGAATGCAAGGAAGTGGATATGTTTTGTTTTTGTTTTATTGGGTTTCAAGACCATAAAGAAGAAAATCATCATGTAACCTAAGGCTGTAACGTAGTTCCCAGTAGGGTTTGTCCTCTTCGTCGGTATCATTGTCTTCATCAATATCAACTGCAACACCTCGCACTACCTATTGTGTTCCATTTATGCTTCGTTAAAGAAGATGAGATGTTGGTTTTGTGATTCAGAGCAGTCTATCGTTTTGCAGGCATTGTTATTGTTACGATATATTGAGAAAGATTCTGGTGGCCAAACTCTACGGATCTTAGAGCCAGGAGCGCAAAAGTTTTATGTTGAGCATAGGAAGGGCAAGATGATAAACAGGATTATATTCTTATTGTCCTTTCCGAACCATCGCAGAAGATAGAGTTCCTGTGAGGGACAGGGATATTTCAGAGTCGTGTTACACATTTTTATGTCTAAGATTAATCGTTCAGCGCCTGTGTGAAATTGGAATACTTAGTTTGTTAGATCAGAAAACAATTAATTTCGATATCGAATTGAATTTGTCCCACAAGCTTGTCGGCGAATTTAAAGGCATTAAAAAATCCTCTTTTTCAACAAACATTTCAGATACAGTAGTCAAGGTCTTAAACAAATAGAGTGTGAATATCGTTCCCAGATTTTACCAACTATCAATCAAATAGACTTTTAAACATGCAACAGTTATTTTACATTTTATTTCACAAAATTGTATTTTTGGGGAAAATCCTCGAAACATAAATAGAATATTGGATTTTTTCCACAAAATGGAATCCAAGATATGGGGACAATATTATTTCACCCCCAAAATTATGCATTTTATGCATTTAGAGGATAGCTTTGTTCTACCTCCTGTAATATGCCATGGGTTCAACTAAAAAAGCCATACGTCTAGATTCGTACACAAAAATGCATCAACAGCCAACTTAGTTTTCAGATGGGCTTACTGACCAATCTTATATTAACCATGCTAAGATTATTAACCCGTTTTGCCATGGGATTGAAATATTACAGTTTGAATCATGATTTTTGAATATCCAGGCTTTCCATCCTACTTTTTAATACATTTCAAAAATTATTAAAATATCCACGAAATGAAAACAGCTTGTTGCCTATAATTTTCGATAATTTTGGCAGAAAGCGGACATGAACTCAGGACTCAATTTCAGTAGTTTTAAGAAGCTGTTATTGTACCATGTGTACAACAAAATATCTTTCAAAGATTTATGAAAAACATTTTTGTGCCGAGTGTGGATGTATTTTCCTTTACCAGTAACCAATTTATATTTCTTATAAAAAATTAAACAAAATCTCATATCTTGTTTCAAAAGTTTCAGTCATTTATTAGTCGAAGTACATAAAAAACGTGAAACTATCAGTTCTAATAAAATATTTCAGCACCCAAGGAAGCAAAAAAGTAACTGAAAGAAATAAAATTAAATTTACATTTTCTCACATTTTTGTTAGCTGAACATACGAACAAACAAATACATACGATTTGATGTAGCTCAGATATGGAAAATATCATTCAGCGTGCAATATAATTTTCATATAGAGTATAGAGTGATCTTTTTAAAATAGTGAAAACCAAAGTAGTTATGAACCTTGTGATTTTAGCTTTATGTAAAACAGAATTATATCTGACTAATCTAAATTCTAAAATTGTGTTGTTGGCGTATATCAATAGATTGAGCTTCTTACTATTGATTTGTCTCTCCTTACGACGCTCGTTGTCAAGAATTACATGTCGAAAAAAGTATGCCACCGAATATTTTACGCGTCTCCCTCCTACCGCTTTTAATAAACCAAAAGTATTGTGGGGAATGTAAACTGTTTTGCAAATCACACTATATAAATGAAAACTGTGACTGGATTTGATATATTATTATTTTAAATTCAATACGGAAACAATTTTACACATAAATTTTATTGAAATATGTATGCATGTCCATTATTGTATGTTTTCAAAATCATAACTTAATATGTTATTAATTACTTAATTGATACAAATATCCAACAGCAGACAACAAATGGTCCATTTTTTAATAAATGCAAATACTTTTTTTAATAATATAACTGATTTTGTAAGGGTTGTAAGAATTTGAACTACTAAACGTAAACAAAAAAAAAAAAAAAAACACATTGAAACAAATATGCTTTAAAATAATTCTGCCTTAATAATATTTATACATGGAATAAATGAGATATATGATCTGTTTTTTACGAATTAGCAAACCACTTCAAAAACTAAATTAAGCTTTATAGTTTTAAGATTGAAAAATATATGAAAATCTATATGACGAACAGATGGATGAAACTGTGTTTATTTCCTCAAATGCGTAAAGTATGTGAAGAAGAAAAAAAACTCAACAATTTAAATGTATTTTTTTATTATTATTGCAATCATTTCAGATCAGATTAACTAGTATTACAATTTAGGCACATTTTCTCTTAATGTTTTTCTTTTTACCCAATTTTTTGGTTGAATACAAAAATAAGCAATTTGTACAAGGTTTGTATATACATTTACGAAACGCATATATATTATTTTAAATGAAAACAAAAACTCTTGGAACAAAAACGAGACGTTGGAACTAAAAGAAACTATATTTTCAAAAAATCATTTGAATATATCACTTTGTTTTTTTCTTTCTTAATTTCTATACATTTTCTACAAGAAGTTTAGACGTAAAATAAAGCAGAAAAAATAAAATAAAAACAAAACAAAAATAACAAAAACTACAGTAGATAGTAAAAACTTTAACGGGGTTTCAAAATCCTATGTTCCATGTAAATTCGGATGTTGACCACTTGTGTTGTTGATCGCCTTTGCCACTTCATCTCGCAGGGCTGATGGTGGATCAGACAAGATGTCGGTCTTCATTGAAAGGTACTTCAATTTATTGGAAACAGCTAAGAAAAAACAAACAAGAAATGTTGAAATATACTATTAAACTTTCAACGCTCTGAAATAATATAAAATGGGAATTGGAATTAAAAAGAGTTGTGCCAATCTACTTCGATCGGACGAACTAATATAAAGACGATGGTTTAAGCGAATAAGCCGTAAATCGATCATTAAAAATTTCATTGAAAAGAAGAATTTTAGTCTGAGACATTATCGATATTATTATTTCGTCGTTAAAAACTTTGAAAGTCATAGGGTAAATGTGCCTAAGTTCGGCATGTCCCAGTAAATGAAACTATTATAACTAATTTTTTTTTGTTTACTTCAAATATATTGTCAGCTGTCTTTGTGCACAATTTCGCTAAGAAAAGATGAATTATTCTAATAAAAATTAAATTTTTGTCTGTGAAGGTCCTCAACAATTCATATTCTTAAGAAAAGTACAATAACGACGTCGAATCAGTTTAACTAAACAAAATTATTATATTTTAATGAATTAATTTATTATTATTATTAATTATTCTTACAAAAAAATTGGTATGCCGACTGTTGGAAAATGCCATACCGACAATTGGCAATTATGAAATTTAATAAAAAGTTATTAAAACTTTATTTATTATTGCAAAAACTATACAAAATTTCGAATCTGAATAAATTAAGTTTGTAATAATTGTAATGTTCCACTCAGAATGGTGAGCGATTAAAAACGCGAAAATCCTAAAAGTGCCGACTACTGGTACACTTACCCTATGTCCAAATACAAAAGAAAAATATAACTCATTACAAATTGGATTAATACACCATATGAGTGACATGTCGCCGTTAAATTAATAGTCTAATTTGTAATGAGTTTTTTTACTAGAAAGAGACTACTAAACTTTGTGTCTATTGAATATGGGAAAAAATATATATCAAAATTCGGGTGCTTTTACTGTACACACAAATATAATATTTTTTAAATGTTAAAATATCATAGAAGTCCCAATAAGAGCACATTTATTTATAAATTTCATTGGAGTTCTGATATACATGTTTTTTTTTTTTTTTAACAAAAACTAAGATTTTTTAAAACGGCATCTTCTCATTTCTAGTGCCAAAGATTACAAATAATTTTAAATTGAGTTTCAATCGATTCTATGTATAGGTTGGTTACTTATATAATATAATTGTTTCTTACCGGGTCTAAGATCAATCAGCGAACAATGTTGATCCACCCAGAGGAAAGCTGTACGCCTTAATTCATCAAGGCTGGCGCTGGAGACTGTTGATGTATAGGATGATAGCAATGGCTCCAAGATAAGACCAAGCTGAAAGAACATTATTAAGGGGGGGGTTGATAATTTATAATCTTGTTAGACAATCTTGAATGTCATTATTGACTGTTATAGAAGAGGTCTTATTACAAACGTTCAACTTACAATCCAAAATTTCCAATTTTCTTGTGTGCGTGTACGCACATACTGCTCATATAACTGTCGCACATGTTCGGTACCCTGTCGTGTAACTGGTGCCCCATTGGCTGGTAAACTTGAGTGTAGATGACTAAGGTGGAAAAAGTTCAACTTTAGTGTTTAAAATCCTATATGAATATCTGAGACTTACGTCAGCGAGTTGTTTAGGGCATCACGTTCCATGCGTAAGGCATCCATACGTTCCTTGAGTATATTCCGTTCGTTACGTAAATGTTTGATATGCTCAGCTCCTTTCTGCAACATTGCAGCTTTACTCAACTGCAAGGGAGAGATTATTGTCGAATGTTTTTAGCGAATCATAAACGGATTTACAACTTACCTTAGCATTATTTTGCTGAAGCTGCGGTATAAGATCGTGTAGTTGATCAAAACCATTTTTAATGTTGTAACGTCTCTTTTGTTCGGCATGTATGTGACCAGCCCGGCGTTGACTATCACGTGGATACTTCAGACTATGAGTGGGCGATAAAGGTGAATCTTGGTCATGAAATGATTCTGGCGATAGACTTAGGTTTGCTGAACAAGCATTTTGCGAACTTGCCGTCAGGGGAAAACTTAACATCTAAATAGGGAGAGGGAGGAGGACTGTTTTATTGCTGTTTTTTTTTTTTTTTTGCATTTTAATATGGACAACTTACTTTACTGGCAGGCGGACTACTAAGCATTGATGGGGCCGCAGGTGCTGGCAATGATGTGGATTTCTTGGGTGATTTATGTACATTCTGATGATGCTGCATATGCTGTTGTTGCTGCTGTTGTTGTTGTTGAACCAACTGTTTACATTGTTGTTGTTGTTGGTGGTGTTGTTGAATTATGGACCCCGAACTATTGACCATTGTAGGTGAGGGTGGGGATGGTGTAGATTGCTGCTGTTGTGCCGGCGACATATACAAATTACCCTTGGGACCTGTTCCTGAACGTGGATTTCCTTTGTTTTGTACGTTTATTTGAGGTGTTGGTATTGCTGGTGGTGTCTGTTGAATAACATTGCTTGGCGTTGTCGATATGGCACTTGTCGATACACTTTGCTGTTTGCTTAGCGGCGGCATCCGATTATCTAGATTATAAGGTAAATTTCATTGAGTAATGATGCAGCTGTTTGGTGGTTCTTGTAGGAATTACTTACTTGTCGTTAGGAGATGTGCCAACGGGCTACTTATCATGGGATCGCTGGTAGCACTTTGCAATTGAGCATTAAGACCCATACCAAGGAAGTTGCTGTTGATCATCACACTTGCGCCTGTTCCACTGGAACTAACACCTCCACCCATTGTATTGGAAGCGGAGGCCAATGTGGAAGACTGCATCATATGCTGATGAATTGAATTGCTGCGGGTACGAGTTTTATTTGCCTTGACTACATGACTTTTGGGCACGATAAAATTTCCCTCGTGCTGTCCTAGGCGCTGATCAATTTTGGCCAGTGTAACATTCAAGGGCAAGCTATTCGAACGATATATTTCTTTTGGCATTGTATTACTTGATGCTAGACCTTGACCAAGAGATGATTGCTGTTGCGGCTGTTGGGATTGTGGTTGCTGCTGTTGCTGCTGTGAATGAGTGGACAACATACTTTGCAGATTTGTTTGCGTTGACGGCTGTTGGGTCTGTTGTCCCATATTCAATTGCGGAGGTATTATACGATGACTAGACTGTTGTTGGGCTTGTTGCATATTTGGTGGCGACAGTTGTGCAGAATGTTGCAGTGTTTGGGATTGTTGCTGTTGGTGGAGGGCATTCGTCAGATTTGGCAAATGCAAACCCAAAGTCGGTGGTAAGGATTGTGCGTGCAAGGGGGCTCCTGGACCATTTCCCGGCGGGTTCTGTCCCTGCTGTTGCATATAGTAATGCTGATTCCCTGGCGCTGATCCTCGAACATTTATATATGTACCAGTTGATGCCGATTTCTTAAAGCTGCCTGTGTGTGTATATGGTTTGTATTGATTGGAGCTTACAAAACTATCCGAGGTCTGAGGTAAATTGTACATATTTCGAACGTCCGACGATGTGCCCTCGATTTTGATATTATGCAGCATATTACTGCTGTTGGATTGATTATTGCCACTCATTTGCGTAGCTGACGTACCCATCATTCCGTAAACTCCGGTATTAATATTGGGATTTGTATTCAATGCGTTACCGCCCGATACCATAACACTGCTAGCGCCAGAACCGCCACTACTGTTGCCGATCATACTTTCCGAGGAGACAAAATTCGTAGAGTTGCTCAATAAATTCGTAGTATACTGTTGGGGTGATTGTGTGAAAGTATTACTAGTAGTTTGAAGTGTCTGTTGTTGTTGCTGTTGCTGTTGCTGCTGCTGCCGCTGTTGATTTGTTGGTTGATAGGCTGTTGCTTGAAGTTGGAGAGAATTGTTAGTCATTAGCGTCTTCTGATGTTCGGCTAACATTTGCTGGTAGATATTAGTCTGGTGCATAGTTGGCTGGGCTTTGTCATAATTATGGGGTTCGCGTCTAAATTGGAATTAGTTGAAATGGACAAATAGTTCAAATTTATTTCCTCCATTTAATTTTCTTCACACTTACCTGAACGGCCGTTGGGAATTTTTCGATATACGTCCTTTTTTCACGGGAAAATCATTGCTGTTGCTATTGCTTTGTCGCCCTCCTATTATATTACTGCTGTTACCAATCACATTACTGTTCTCTACCAATCCTAGAGAATTTGTAGCTCCACTAGGTCCACCTGAATTATCATAGGCGTCAATTTGCTGCTGTTGATGTGTTTGGGCATTTCCCTGTGACATCATTATGTTGCCGGAATTTTGCGTGCTGCCCATAATGGCGTATTCTGTATTCAAGGTCTGTAAAGCACCTTGATCTGTTCGATTGTCCGACGAGGCAATCATTTGAACATTGTTGTTGGCGGCACTACGCGTCGCAAACTGTTGCTCGAGATCGGTGTAACCTAAGGCATTCATCGGTGTATTCAATTCCATCATATTGGCATCCTCGTTTACATTTGCCATGCTGCTAACAACGTTGGACGCGGACACATCCATCATATTGCTTGACTCCATATGTTCAGTTCCTATAATTTATAATAAGTTTTTGCAACAAATCTAAATAAGTGCAAATCTTGACAATTACCCATAATAGATGAAAAGTTATAATCAACACTTTTGATCATGTCATCGGAACCCTCTTCCGGCACCGGAGGTAATCGTGAATTTAACCCATTAGTGGACGAAGTTCCCTGAGCACTATCTTTAAGCGATTTACACCAATTACAAATAAAAATGGTCTAGTTAATTTGTTTTAAAAATAATTTATTCAAAAAAGCTTATGGTTTTGGAGTTATGGACCGTCCCTTATAAGGGACGCTGCGCATTGGGTACACTTGGCTTATGATATTCCTTAAAGCAATTTTTAGGGTGGAGACCTTTGTCACACTTCTTACAAGTAAAGTTAGACTTTTTGCCGCATAATCCACAGCGTTTATCTGTTTTTGAATATTCAATAATGTGGTTTCTGCCATCATATCTTGTATCTGCAGTGACATTGCTATTGCGCAAACCTCTTGATGCTGGGGTACCATACGATTCCAGATATGATGTTGCAATTTAGAAGAGTTGAACATGCCGCATCATTGGGATGTAACTTCTTCATTAACAACCATGCATTCACTACTGACCATCAAGAAAATATGCAAATATGGGCCACCACCATCAGTATCTTCATCAGTATCTGCACCATCTATTGGTGGGATCGCGTAAATTTCAATGTCGTGCAACTCATTATCGCCAATAACATCCAATTCAGTCAGTATTTCAGAAACTGTAAGTCTGCACATATAAGATTCATTACTCAATCAGTGGATTACAATTGTACTACGGGCGCAGTGTCCCTCTTAGGGGACGTTGCATTCATAGTCACTTTATGCACGTGTCACAACAATTTATTTTATTTTTTGGGCATAAACTAGTATATTACACTAACTTACAAATAACAATACAAACACAATCATAAATATTCACAGAATCATAACTTTATTGAAATTTTATTTGCCCAGCTCGAGATTTTTGTTTTTTCACAAATTGGTTTTCCATATTTTGCACAAAATACAACACACAACTCGCAAGAAATTAAATTAATGGGATAGAACATAATTCGTTGGAGTGTCAGTAACGGCATAGCCTACTTGTTTACAAAAAAAGCGAGTATTGGAAAGTGCTACAGTGCAAAATGTGAGAGTCCCTTATAAGGGACACTGCCCACTAATGGGTTAATAATTCTATGTTGAAAACAAAAAATTTATACCAAGAGTATAGAAATGTTAAGTGTCGTCATCGATATCTTTATTGGCAAATAACACAATCGCTTTCAATCGCCGACAAAAATATTTTTTTTTTTTGACGAATAAAATAAGACAGTACTCTGACATACCTGTAAAAGTTAAATCTATGTCATCTAAATTCGGTTGTAACGGTCCTAAACTGGGTTGTATAAAATCAGCGTTGCCAGCTTCTCGCGCTAGAGGTGTGAAATGAAATGACACTCAGTTATTGTCCATTGACATTAAGAGATATAAAACTTACCAATTTCTCTTGAATCTGGAAAGGGAAAAGGAGCATTTATTGCCGAAAACAAAGTATCGCTGGTCCAATCATCAGATATCAAAAAACTTTTATCATTCAGGTACGTCCATTCTAGGAAGTCGAATTCACTTTTCTAGGAGGAGGTTAATAAGACAGATTTAAACTTAAGATTTCTTGTTGGAGTTTGGGCAACAAAATACATTTGTCTTTGGCAGTGATCAGGAATAAAAACTAGAAAGGTACCAGTTAAGTACTCTTTATTGGGAATACGTACATACTTGAATGTTCTCATCCTGTTTGTAACTCATTGAAACAACCAATCGAGACCCTATATTGTATATTTTTAATCACTAATCACACGAACTTAGAGGACAAAAACTTTGCTCACTTTGCTATCTAATTTTTGGCATTTTAAATGAAAATAGATATTGGAAATTGTTTTGGTAATTAGGGTTCCCAGTGAGTACGTTTACTCTGTACAAAAAATGTCGAACTCAGCCCATATTTTTCTCACGTTTTTTTCCACCTTTTCGTGTAGCCTACCTCCTGATTTCAGCCACATAATGATGATGATTTTAGCCACATAATTGTTCGAAATTTGGTATTTGAAGTTCCCAATGTATACTAACCTCTCAAAGTGGAAAATAGTATATAACAAATTTTCATAACTACCAACATCATACAGTTCAAAAGAAATCTTAATTTCAAATTTCAGGATTCCAACTCTACCGGTCCACCCAAAATTTAAATTGTACCAAATGCAATACCATTTAGCAAATCCTAAATAAGCCGGTCCGCTTTGCTGGTCCTTTTTCTGTGGGGGTTCTAAGGGGGGTCACTATTCTTTCGTTATTCAATTCATTGTTAATACTAAAGCCTCCAAGGCTAATTAATAGTTTTTATAAGGTACTAGCTGAACCCGGTGCGCTTCGCTACCCCTTTTGATTTTATATGCATTCAAAATTTTATTTACGAATATATGTTGGATAAAGAAAAACAAATTTAAAAATTAAAAAAAAAAATATTGCACTAATTTAATGCGTTAATAAACAAAATCATTACAAAAGCAGTAACATGACATGCATACACGAAGGGTTTGTCCTTTGGATTTATTTATTTCATAGCAAATACCAAGCGTGCAGGAAACTGCAATTTTTTTAAGTAGAGTGGCATTTCTATTGCAAGTAGTGAATTCGAGATAGCAACATACTTCGCCGTAATAAGCGTATTTCAATTAAATTGTTGTGTTGTTTTTTAGTGTTAGCCTAAGGCGTTGTGGGTCAATGGTTCTTATTAAAATCATATCCCAATCTGATCCGATTTAAATATAATTTAAAAAAAATTACTTTTACACCAAACTCCGCTACACCTTTCATATTTAATTGAAATTGGTGCGTCAAATATGTGAAATCGGCCGAGAATATATATATGGGAGCTATATCCAAATCTTAACTAATTTCCAATTAATTTATCACATTTATTATTATAACAAAATTCCGCCACACATTCTGAATTTCATTGGAATCGGTCATATATATCGTGTTTGGTGCATAATATGTATGAAATCGGCCGAAATATATATGTTAGCTATATCCAAACCTCAACTGATTTCAATATAATTGTGCAATTTTTGCTGGTGCCAGATTTTGTCTCTCTCGCTTTGGGTGCACCAAATATGTGAAATCGGCTGAGTATATATATGGAGCTATAATCACATCTGAGCGTATTTGAATATAATTTGTCAAATGTGCATCAAATATGTGAAATCGGCGGATAATATATATGAGAGCTATATCCAAATCTGAACCGATTTTAATATAATTTGACTAATTTATTTTCTAATCAAAATCCCGTTACATATTCCAAAATTCTTGGAAATCGAACATACATATCGTGTATGGTGCATAAAATACTTGAAATCGGTCGAAAATATATATGAGAGCTATATCCAAATCTGAACCGATTTTAATATAATTTGACAAATGTATATTTGTTTTAATTTCCGCTACACATTTCAAATTTCATTGAAATTAGAGATACATAGCGTGTTTGGTGCATCAAATACATGAAATCGGTCGAAAATATATATGGGAGCTATATCCAAATCTGAACCGATTTCAATATAATTTGAAAAATTCATTTTTGCTCCCGATTCCGTTACTTATTTTAAATTTCATTAAATTTGGACATACATATCTTGTTTGGTCCACCAATCACATGAAATCGGCCGAAAATGTATATGGGAGCTATATCCAAATCTGAACCGATTTCAATATAATTTGGGTAATAAATTTTTTTAGATAAAATCTATCACACGTTTCAAATTTCATTGAAATTGGGGAGACATAGCGTGTTTGGTGCATCAAATGCTTGAAATCGGCCGAAAATATATATGGGAGCTATATCCAAATCTGAACCGATTTCAATATAATTTGAAAAATTCATTTTTGCTCCCGATTCCGTTACTTATTTTAAATTTCATTAAATTTGGACATACATATCTTGTTTGGTCCACCAATCACATGAAATCGGCCGAAAATGTATATGGGAGCTATATCCAAATCTGAACCGATTTCAATATAATTTGACAAATTTATTGTCGGATCAAATCCCGTCACATATTCCAAATTTCATTGGAATCGAACATTCATATTGTGTTTGAGGCATCAAATGAACGAAATCGGTCGAAAATATATATGGGAGCTATATCCAAATCTGAACCGATTACAATATAATTTAGCAAACTTATTTTTGTTCCAAATTCCGTTACACATTCCAAATTTGGAGACTGTATCTTTAACCGATCAATAGATATGTGCATATAAAATCTAAATTTTTGGGAGGTACCTCCGATTCTGATGCTATATCTCCAGTTCCAAGTGGAAATTCAAAAATTTATATAGCCTATGTTACTTTCAGGCGATGTTGCAGTATATATGGAAATTTTCAGAAAAATCTATTCAGCAGTTTTCGAGTCCATAAATTACAAACAAACAAACAAACAAACAAACAAACAAACGTACAAACATTTTCCTCTTTTATAGATATAGATATATATATATATATATATATATATATATATATATATATATATATATATATATATATATATATATATGGTCTTTTGTCGATACAGAAAGTAACATTTGATGTAGATTAAACCTGCATTACCAGCACTATTTGTTATAACCCTTATATAGAAGATGTCCGTGAAGATAAATTTTAAAATATAAAAGCAAAGACAAGGGGATAATTGAAAATATTTTTTTTTAATATTATAGGTTTTTACCATTTTTTGGATAAATCAACGTATTTTTAATAAGTATTAAGATAATAACAATTCTCCTACATTAATTTAACAGGAAAATGACACAATTTCCCGACGAGGACGAATAACCAGAGTGGTGTTGGCGGTAGGGAAACTGCATGGAATTTCATAGGGTTCAAGATTTTGAAAAACAAAACGCTCAAATAAAGCGATATATATATATATATATATATATATATATATATATATATATATATATATATATATATATATATATATATATATATATATATATATATATATATATATATATATATATATATATATATATATATATATATATATATATATATATATATATATATATATATATATATATATATATATATATATATATATATATATATATATATATATACATATATATATATATACTAGTTATCAATTCTTTGTATTGTAGCATGTCTGTGCTACTTTTTCCAATCAAATGCGCTGTAATTTTAAATTCGTATCGTTTAGAAAGCAAGCTGCAAAGTGTCTAGTTCTGTCCACCTCATGATTGATGATAGAGAGCACAGTTAAACTTAACTCCTCTATTATGACCATAACCATGAGATTTTGCCATCAGTTTATCATCTCTCAAATTGGTCTTTTGGCGACACATAAAGTAACATTTGATGTAGATTAAACCTGCATTACCAGCACTATATATATATATATATATATATATATGTGTATATATATATATATATATATGTGTATATATATATATATATATATATATATATATATATATATATATATATATATATATACACATATATATAGATATATATATATATATATATATATACACATATATATATATATATATATATATATATATATATATATATATATATATATATATATATATATATATATATATATATATATATATATATATATATATATATATACATATATATATATATAAATATATATACATATATATATATATATATATATATATATATATATATATATATATATATATATATACATATATATATATAAATATATATACATATATATATATATATATATATATATATATATGTATATATATACATATATATATATATTCAATAAATTATTTGTATAAATATTTGTATCTCCAATGTTGCCACATCACTGTATAATGAGGTTAAATTGGACTAGTTAATAGCCGCTTGGATTAGTTAATAAAAATTAAATCACTTTTTTCAGAGCCATTACATTGTTCAAAAATCCTGTCGATTAAAATCTCTGTGTGTCGACACAATCGTACCCAAACCACACACTTTCCTTTCAAGTTCCTTTCAAGTTCCTCTACACATTTCGATGAACGCCTTTCGATAACGTAAATAAATTACTTCCAGAACATACATTCCTTCACTTCGGCGATTGTTTGAAGATTGATTACGAGACATCGAAGTGTTAGTGAGTTTTTATTATTCGTGATACCTTAATGGAAAAATGTCGGAAGAATTCGAAGTATTTTACAAGTTGTTGAGACTTTCGGGTTTAACGGCAGTACCTTTTGATGGTTCAAAGTCATGTGAGAAAGTTAGAAACTGTTTAATTTACTACTTCTTCCCTATGGGTATCCAGCTGACGCTAGTCAGTTCGGTTGTGCTGGCGTATCTTATTCGAGAATCGCTTTTACTGGCTGACTTTATGGCTACTGAATACTATTACAACTATATACTTGTGGAGTCCACGTTTGTTACAAATATTATTCTCAGATTCTGGTTGATTTCTAATCAAAACATAAACCTACAAATATTGGAGCTGTGCAAAAGATGGATCACGAGCCATTGCCATGCGACAGTGCATTCAAAGAAAATGTTGGCTGCTTTCTTTGTAGCTGCATTGGTTTATTTTGCAAATCTGCTTGTGTTATTTTATGAGTTGTGGTTCAATGGTGTTATATCTGTAAAACTGTGCCTATTTTGGACACTATTCACATATTGCTACGTAACAACGGTTCTCATCTTGTGCCTATGGTGTGCTATTGTAATAGCAATTTCGAATGTTTTTAAATCGATTGCCAAACAGCTAGAAGACATACTATTGCATGCTGATGTTATGTTCCCTGACACAGACATTGTCCTCTTACAAGCATTAGTGCATACGATAGGTGAGATCATCCAAGTAGTGTCGAAGGACGTGAGCAAAGTTCATGGAATATCGTTGCTGCTATGCATGGTTGTGACAATCAATGAATCGATATGGAATTTCTTTCAAATGATGGCACCCAACTTGGCATCTAACCATCTGATTGAGTTTTTAATGTCAATGTGGATGTTGCCCATTTTAATATTATTGGCGATTGGATTACCGAATAACAATGTACAAGAAGAGGTAATTCTTTATTATTTCTCTTCTACATATCAGTATGGTTTTAAGTATGTCTCTCTCCTGGTGGTGTGATAATATCATTCAACAGAGCGATAATATCATTCATAATCTTCTGGCAGATAATTCAAAGTTTATACTTTTTATAGCTTTCGTTATACACTCCTGCCTACACTTAAAGCTCTAAACGAGTTTTACAAGCAGTTGTGCGTTGATATGTGTGTGCAGTAGCAATCAGTTTTTGACGTCGACTCATTCAATAAATGACAAATTAGAAGAGTGCTCGGCAAGAGTAGAAACTTCTCGATTTCAAGCATATCTTACTCCCACTCGAAAATAAGCAAAACAAAGCTATTATTCAAATGATAACGGAAAATAGAGTATTCTCGATTTAATTTACCTAATCGGAGGAGTACTCTCGCTCGAATTCAGGCAAGCATTTCAATTCTCTGCTATCAATAAATATCGTTTTGTCTGCATAATAATTTTTCATTTTAAAAGTTTGTAGCAGCCCTTTTATATAGTTATTGGAGGTATAATTCAGCATCATAAATAACATGAATGTATCTTTATTTGAATCAATTATTGTACTTTAGCATAAAACACTTGGTTTATTATTATTTACCTAATCTCAGTATGCTTTAGTAACAATATCTTTCTGTCAATTATGTATTCTCAATTTTCAATCAGTTCAATAAACGAATTCATTTATAAAAGGTTATGGTCCTAAGCAACGTTTGAAAAAAATCATTGTGAAAAAATATATACATATTTTTTCATATTGAAATTTTGTGACTTTTTGAATTAAAACAAAATGTCTTTTCCGTCGGCTATATTGCGTAGAAGCGAAAAAATTGACGTTTGGAAAAGGCAAGCGCAATCATATATTGTTATTAAAGGATGCTGAATGGCCTATGTTCATGATGCTACTGATGCCGATTTGAATGCGAGAGCTTTTTCCGAGATACCATTGATGGTTGAACCGGCAACTTGGGGCACATTGGAATTGCAACTACCGCAAAAGATGCTTGGAGTGCGTTGTAGAATGCATATGAATATACAGACTTCACTAGAAAAGTTGCAATTCTTGATCATAAAATTACAGCACTATGGATCAATTCGAAAATATGTCAATGAAATTGTAATAGTTGCTCTGTGTATATATATATATATATATATATATATATATATATATATATATATATATATATATATATATATATATATATATATATATAGAACTTAGTGAGCGACATCTATTGAACCACTTTTTTCCAAGATAACAGATGAGACAACTTTTTAGTTCATACCTTTTTTGTCTATGGCATAACTTTAAAATATTGCCTTACAATACTAGTAGTTAAGTTCTAGACAAAGTAATAGTTTAACATATGCCAAGCTGCCTTATAGAAATCATGTTGCATCTTTCTATTCTGATCGAGCTGCAGACTAATAAAGTTGGTAAAACGGACAAACCCCTCTTTTATTTTGGGAAATTTAAGATAAAAATATAAAATTGAATATTCGCTAAGACTTTGCTACAAGGCTACATAAGTAAGGCTACATAAGTAAGCAAACCTGAGGATGAATACTGCTCGTATGGACTTTTTCTGTGCCAGAATTTAATAATACAAATAATATTATTAAAAAAATCAATCGTAATCGTAAAACAATCGTAAGGGAAGGAGTTCCCACATTTGGAGGGGGAATCTTATAAGTTTAGACAAACGATTGGAAGTAGTTTTCCATGCTGTCCTCGACTCACGTTATTGTGTTTTTGAGAAGATGATGAAGGCCAGAAAAATACTTTGTACATACTTTTGAGTGCGGTTGAGGCGCTGGGAAAAACTAGCAATAAACAACCAATATTCAAAAATTACATATTTCCCAGCCGCCATAAAGTGCCACATGTGAACAATTCGGTGATCTTGTGCGCTGACGCATACGATAATGTGTCAGATAAGAAAGGTTATGACCCACACGCACAGATATCATTGCGCTCAGTAGATGCACAAGACCACTAGAATGATGTGACAAGCAGCCCTGCAATGTTCTCCATTCAATATTAGAATAGATAAGAATAATTGTGTGGCTGCGATTAGGATAAGTTAGATTAGTTTCAGTAGCACTTAAGAAACAATTTTTTTAAATAAAATCAGAATTGAATCAACAGCCAAACCATTCGGTTGGTTTTCTTTTCTCATCTAAACATTGATCCTTCAAGCCGGATCGAAAATTGAATCTACAACCAAGCGAAGCGGTCGTATTCTTTTCTCGCCCTTTTACAGTGGATTACATTAAAACGTCAAAAGGAAATATTCGCTATTGGCCAAATTTTCCATTCTCCTTTTCACGTTTGCCCGATCTTTGCTCAATAAATCCATATGACTATTTTAAAGTACAATTTATTACGTAGATATAGTTATATAAGAACTTATTCCATAAATAGATCTCGTTATGTCGAAAAGATTAAAAAAAATATTGCGGACAGATAAGGTTATCCGAATTTTAGACGGGAAGTATAAAAACCGTTTAGTCAACCGATTTGAATAAACCGATTATTCTTATGTAGTGTATCATATTGAGGCTGGTGGGATTGTCAATCATATGAAGTTAATTAAATATTTCCGACCCTAGACCCTGGATCACATGCGATTAAAGCCACTAATCTAGTGGCTCTCTCTAATAGAGAAAAATGTTTGACCATTGACCACTCTTTTGAATTATAGCATGTGCTAGGTTTTAGTTCCTCCACTAATCGACCTCATTTTGAGTGCTATTATTTGTATCTATGGTGTAAGAGTTTTACATTTACTTTCAGCAGAAGTGGTTAAGACTACTGTTTTGTTGTGTAGCCAAGGGAAAAATATTTTGTTTTCTGATTAATGTGTGGGTGTGTTTGTAACAGCAAACGAGTTTTGATGTTGCTGTGTAACTAAACTAAACGATTTTGAACGAATTTTGCACCCACTGAAAAACGAGGAAAATATCCTCACTCATATTCTAGCGGTATCGAAATTATTCTTGCTCGGAGGAGGCCTGGTCTAAGGGAGTTTCGTTTTTCCTCTATCAGCTCTAGTTTGCAAGATTTCACGTATCTGTACAATATTTTTAGGTTTGAGTAATGAGATGTTTTAAACATTAAAAATAACATTTTAGAAACGATTCGTTAACTCAAAGACTACACATTTAGAAATGTTCAATTTCTATGTATTTCAACGTATTTCGGCTTCATTTCACCTGTAGATAAAGGCTCGTTGCATGCCACCTACAGATAATGCAAATTCTTCTTGTATTTGACAACAATCTTGGTGAGTGGAGTAAGTAATACTTCCAATTCCTCATCTTCTGGACTGATTAACCCGTTGCTTGACTTCTGCAAATGAAAACACCACTACTGATTTGCACAATTTCTTTTTTCCACAATTTTTGTTCCAATAAACAGAGAATATTGAAAATAATTTTTACTGAGAAAATGTCCAAGTATATTAGTATATATTCGTTTTTTTTTTTTTTTTTAATTAGGCCAATTATTAGGCCACTGGGGGTTGAGATAGTCGCGATCAGTGCACAAATGATTTTATTTCATTAAGATTTTAAAAATGTTTACAAGCAAATATTCTAAGTTATATTTCCATCAAATTGTGAGCAGCAATCCCAAAAATGAATTTGCCGAAAAATGTCCATTTCACCAACTGAAGTTGATGCCATCTCAGTTTTCAGTTGCTATTTGTGATGACATTTTGAAAAGAAGCAACGGCACTTTACAATAGCTATCAGGACCCGTTTTATTTATACATCAATGTCTATCGGCAATAAAAAAATGTATTGAAAAAATTTTCAGTCCCTTCAAGATTATTCAACATCCATCAAAAAGATTTTCAAGATATCATCCCAGGATAAATGAAAATATTGAATGAGGTTTTATATCAGCAATTCAAAACTCTTTTGATATACTCGTAAGCTTATTAATATTTTAGAATCTCACTCGAAATCTACTAGCACATGTCTGAAAAAAAAACAATGTTATTTTTGATATTAAAATTTGAACAAATATCAATTTTCTTGGCTCGTCAACTCATTCCCAAAGCTGAACGAGTTTTAGATCTCATCAGTAATTAATTAGAATTCCCTTTAAGGGAAAGCAACAACGCTGAGCAGCAACTTGGTTTGGCAGTTGCTTTCTTACAATCGGTCGCCGACGATGACAGACAAATACATTTGTGTTTTTTACAAATTGCTGAAATACTCCGGTCTAATGGCTGTGCAGTTCGATGCGGACAACCTTTGCTATTTCATTAGAGGAAGTGTCGGATACTATGTTTTCCACACAGGCATTCAGTTGGCTCTGGTCGCTTCGTTTGTGGCCACCTACCTGAACCGAAGATACATTTTGGTCGGTGATTTCGTTGACACCGAACACTACTACAACTACCTGTCGATGCAGACGACATTTTTGTCCCACACCGTGCTTCGATTGTGGCTAATTTGCAACCAACACAACAATCTTCGGTTGCTGGAGTCATGTCGGAAGAAGTGGTGGAATGGAATGGATGATTCAACTGTAGATGGGGGTACATTCGATGACTACACCAGGAATCTGCTGATGGCATTCGCTGTATCTGCAGTCATATATTTTGTTAATCTCATAATAATGCTGTCACTAAACAGTGATGGCCTCAATGGGTCATCCCTGTTAATATGGACAGGCTTTACCTATTGTTGGCTGACCATCACATTGATTTTATATGTCTACATCTTCATCGTGATAACAATATCAAGAGTCCTGAAGTCGATGGCACATAGGTGTGAGATGATGATGCTGCATCGAACGATCGATTTCAACAATTGCACCGATTTGCGACATCTTCAGTATTTGTTCAATTTGTACGACGATATAACCTATGCCGTCTGGCAGGATGTCAATTGTGTATATGGAATTGCGATCCTGTTCAGTACTATCACACTAATCAATGAATCGATATGGGATGTTTATGAATTGGCCA